AAAAAAAAAAAAAAAAAAAAAGATAGCCCAAATTGCAATAAATGAAAGTTGTGTCCTCCTTATCCCATCCTCTGACAAAAATAACATTGCCCCATTTTTTTTAATAATAATAAAAAAAAAAAAATGAATTGCAAGTTTGAGCTCAATTTGCTCACTTATTAATGTCGTGTACCCATATCCGCAGACCATTCTGTACAGTTCTGCCTAATCCGTTTATCCGCCGCATCCGATGCAAAAGGTGTAGTCGTTATCTATTCTCATCCAATCCAATCCAATCCAATCCAATCCGATCCAATCCAGAACGCCGGTAGCTTTCTCAATCCCAATTCCCAATGCGTAAAGATTTGAACTTTTTTAACTATTAATCAACGTGTGGTTTAGTTTCAACGCATACGCCATTTAGTTCATATAATTAATCAGCCTGCTTATTATATCTAATCTCCCTAATTGGAAGAGAAAGATTGGGGCTTTTTGTTTAGAAGCTGCAGCAGCGTCTTTTGTTATCTTCTTCCGTGGGGTCGATCTGAGGACCCTTTTGAAGAATTTGAATATCAAAGGGGGCAGTGAAAAAAAATTGAATCTTGAGGATAAAATTTTGTATTGTCCCTTTTGTCTTTTGTCTGCCTCCTTTCAAATTTTCTGGGTTTTGCCAATAAATCTGTAATATTTGTTGTCTTCGAAGTTCCAAGGTTGGATTCGAATCCGGAGGTTTGGATTCTCGTTCTTCATTTGTATTCTCAGATTTTAGCTTTTTTCTTTTTTTCGTCGTTTGTTGTTTGATTATTATTTCCTTTGTTTGTTGTTGTATTGGATAGAAGAACACGCCCCTTTTGATTTAGCCTTACTCTTCCATCTTGGTATTCACTTATTCATTCAGCAATTACAGTTAGCTAGCTATGGCTTGTTTCCCCCCTTTCTTTCTTTATCAAGAACATTTTTTTTTAGGGAAATTTGAGCTTTCATTTGAAATTTCATAGATTATCCTCTCCCCTTGCCGTTCAGATAGAACACATAGTTTAGAATTGTTTTCTGCTTCATTTACCTAAGGCCATGGATATAAGCAACGAGGCACGAGTCGACTCGTTCTCGATTGGCCCGTCGACCCTTTTCGGCCGAACGGTTGCATTCAGAGTCTTGCTCTGCAAATCCATCTCCCACTTGAGACATCAAATTCTAGGGATTCTACTACTTCACTTTGACAGAACCAAAAACTTCCTAAGTCGATACTTATCGCCCGTCATCTCATGGTTCCACCCTCGAAACCCACAAGGCATACTTTTAATGGTCACAATCTTAGCTTTCGTGCTCAAGCGCTGCACGAACGTAAAAGCACGGGCCGAAATGGCCTACCGGAGAAAATTCTGGCGAAACATGATGCGGGCCGCATTGACTTACGAGGAGTGGGCCCACGCAGCGAAAATGCTCGACAAGGAGACTTTGAGAATGAATGAATCTGACCTTTATGACGAGGAGCTCGTGAGGAACAAAGTCCAGGAGCTTCGCCACAGGCGGCAAGAAGGTTCTTTTCGAGACATCATATTTTATATGAGGGCCGATTTGGTCAGAAACCTCGGCAACATGTGTAATCCGGAGCTTCACAAAGGAAGGCTCCACGTGCCGAGGCTAATCAAAGACTATATTGACGAGGTCGCCACACAGTTGAGGATGGTGTGTGATTCAGACTCGGAGGAGCTTCTACTAGAAGAAAAACTCGCTTTCATGCACGAGACGAGACACGCCTTCGGCCGAACGGCTTTGCTTTTAAGCGGGGGAGCCTCGTTAGGAGCTTTTCACGTGGGTGTTGTTAAAACTTTAGTCGAGCACAAGCTTTTACCTCGGATAATAGCCGGGTCAAGCGTTGGGTCCATAATGTGCTCGGTTGTGGCGACTCGTTCTTGGCCCGAGCTCCAGAGCTTTTTCGAAGACTCTTGGCACTCGATCCAGTTTTTCGATCAGATGGGTGGGATTTTCACGGTTTTCAAACGGGTCATGACTCATGGTGCAGTTCACGAAATTAGGCAGTTGCAGATGATGTTGAGAAATCTGACGAATAATCTGACTTTTCAAGAGGCGTATGACATGACGGGACGAATCTTGGGGATCACGGTTTGTTCTCCTAGAAAGCACGAGCCTCCTAGATGTCTTAACTATTTGACCTCGCCACATGTCGTGATATGGAGTGCTGTCACGGCTTCTTGTGCTTTTCCCGGGCTTTTCGAGGCCCAGGAGCTCATGGCTAAGGATAGGAGTGGGGAGATTGTGCCTTACCACCCGCCGTTTCATTTGGGGCCCGAGGAGGCTTCCTCGGGGGCCTCGGCCCGTAGGTGGAGGGATGGGAGTTTGGAGATTGATCTTCCCATGATGCAGTTAAAGGAGCTTTTTAATGTGAATCATTTTATTGTGAGCCAGGCGAACCCGCATATCGCACCATTGTTGAGGGTGAAGGAGATCGTTAGAGCTTATGGAGGAAATTTTGCTGCAAAGGTGTGATTTTTTTTTTCTATTTCTTCTTAATAGTTTTATTATTTGGTTCTGAATTGTGGCGTATATGGACCAACTGTCGTCTGTGAATCCATATTTTGTGGTGATCTAACGATGGAAGAAAATATAGTCAAAGTCTTGAAAAATGAAAACTAAAAAATATGGCGTTCTGTCAAATGAACCTGTTTATTGGAGTCTTGCTTTTTTGTATGCTTATTGATGGTACGAATGAGCTTGACTCTTTGTTCCGATGACCAGCATTGAAAAGCTTTCTGCTTGATTAGACATTTAATATCATTTTTGTTTTTGGAGGAACAAATTGATGACGAGTAAAGAGACATCTTAGAAAGCTGTTTGATGAGTTACAGAGTTAAATTTTGAGATAAATTTTGCTGACAGTTTGATTCAGGAATAGTCGTAATTTATTTTTTTATTTCCTGATTTTATCCGTTTTTCGACTGTGAATCGTGTTTCGACTGTCAGAATTGGATGTTTACCTTCATTTTCTCCCTACCTCTGTATCTTGAAAGTTAATTTTCGTTTCAAAATGTGTAAAGACTTGTATGATCGAAAAAGGGAATATTTTTCAGGATAATGGTTTTCTCTTTTTTGAGTTTGATTCCTCGTCTGACTTTCGGTGTCGACTTAAACTGTACAGCTTGCTCATTTAACAGAAATGGAGGTAAAACACAGATGTAATCAGATATTGGAGCTCGGTTTTCCACTCGGGGGACTTGCCAAGCTATTTGCTCAGGACTGGGAAGGCGACGTCACTGTCGTAATGCCTGCTACTATATCTCAGGTATGGAACCAACATTTCGTTATCTTTATGTTTATTCTCAGAAAAATTATCTTAAAATCTTGTGGAAGTAGGAAACATGTGCAGTTGAAGAAATGGCACTCTTTGAATTTTACACACCGTCCCAAAATAAAACGAGTAAACGAAAAAAATCACTCGTTCTATCGCATCTGATGATTTTGTTGGTGATAGATGATGATCAACAAATATAAAAGCTTTCCGAAATCCATAACTGAACAAGCTACACATCCGCATTTATGATCGTTTGCTGTTTTGATTAGAAGCTCCAGCGGGATAGATATAGAATAGAATACACATCCAAATTAAGCAAGGAATTCATATTTAAACGATTCACAATCAATAAATATGACGATCCATGAAATTATTACACATCTCCTTTCGTGATTTTTTTTTCAGCTGTCGAAGATAATACAGAACCCGACTTACGTGGAGCTTCAAAAGGCCGCCAACCAAGGCCGCCGGTGCACGTGGGAGAAGCTCTCAGCAATCAAGGCCAACTGCGGAATCGAGCTCGCACTCGACGAGTCGGTCACCGTTCTCAACCACATGCGCCGAGTCAAACGCAGTGCCGAACGGGCCGCCTCATCCTCATCATCCGGCGGGCCCCACCTC